TAAAAAGCTTTTCTTATAGTTTTTAAAATTTCTGCTGATTTTAGTATAATCTTAAATTATAAAATTAGAAGCAAGAAAACACATGATAGAATTCTTTAAAATACATTGAAATAGAACTTTTAAGTTACGTTTACTATTCGATAGAAAATGGAGAATATATATATATATATGAATACAATATATCTATACAATATACCTAGAACAATATACTAAAAACTCTTCTTTCGCTTTATTATAATCAGTAAATAATTGTATATCTGAAATCGAATTGTAGCTCTGTTTTCGATTAGATGCAATTTATTTCTAGATATGTGGTGCTTTATCGGAGCGAAAAGAGTTTTTCGTAGATTTTAAAAGCCTGTCGAGCAAATGTAATTTTATCGAAAAACATTTATTTTAATATATTCCGCAAGAATTTTTATTGTATGTTTTTCACTTCTGATGTCATAATTCAAGACTACAGTAAACCGGCAGGAATATTTATAATACAAAGAAACTATCTCAAATTTCCACACTATTGGAATAAATTCTATGTCTTTTCTTACAATATACTTATAAGATCCAGTCAGAAATGTGACATGATACAACATTCATTCGATATCGACCGAGTTATTTTTGATTGGGCAGAGTTTAACATTTAATACTTACCTTCGATAACGTGCTCTAGCAATATTTATTCCTGCTGTACTAACATCATCATTAAACAGATATTTCTTGGTACCCAAAAGTGCACTCCTTTGTATGTAAAAAAAGAAGAATTAAAGTGAGAAAGTGTTCAAGTTTTCCAATAAGACACAATAATAAGATACAAAATAAAACAGTTACAAAAGAATATTTTAAGCGCCAAAATTTTGATTTGTAAAATTTAAATTTTAGTATTAATTATTTCAAGATATATCGCTAACCCTGCTAGATTAAAATATTCTACATGTAAAACAATAAGATGTGACAATAAGAATAAAGAGTAGAAAAGGAAAAAAAAGCGAAAAAAAAATATAGAAACGATTAACAAAAGATCAATTAAATTTGCCAAAAATAAAATAGATTAAGAAACATCTTCTGCATAATACAGAACAATAAGATAGATAGATGTGAAAATAAAATTAAAACGAAAAAGAAGTACGAAAAGAAAGCAAAGAAGATATAGGCTTTATCACTAGAAAAAAATTCAGAATAAAAATAATTCATAACAATTTCGCCAAAAAATAAGTCATAATTTATAAAAGTGAAATGAAACATTAATATACGGTAAGGTTTGCTTTTCGCAATAAAAATATCAATTTATGTTATACTTTCCATTATAAAAATATAATATACATCAAAGTTACATATCCATTTCCATTTTATTTTATTTCTTATTGCGCTACGTTTTATGTTACTTACTTTAGCATATCTCTTCGATTAAAATTAAATTGGAATTGAAATTCTTTGACATTAACTGGTGGTAATGTCTCGTTTAGAAGCATTGTATTTTTATTATCAAATGTCCATTCATTAATTAGAAAATAATTTAGAGCAGAGAAAGCCACGTAAATGTTTCTATGCAACTTTAGAAATCTATAAAAATTGTGCACGGTATAATTATATTATATTAACAATACTGTTTCAGTCTACTTCTACATATCATTTACATTAACTAAACTTATTATCATTTATTTATAATTAATAATTGTTATAATAATTATTATCAATAATTATCATTATTATAAAAATAATAATGATTATCAATAATTATTATAAAAATAATAATGATTATTAATAATTGTAATAATAATTTAATTATTTTTTTATTTAGAATATCAGAAATAAGGAGTATCCTTATGTTACAAATTTTCAAAAAATGTAATATGTAGAGTTGTTATTGAATTGAAGAATTAAATAATGTTTGCACGTTTAATCGATAAAATAATTGATCTATGACTTACCTAAATTTGAAATTAGACCATTTTAAAATCAAGTCTATAAACATAGCTGGCAAAACGTGCCATAATATTGTCAATATATAAAATAAAGTAAAATTGCTCGTGACATAAAAACTGCAGTTGTATAAATTTTCATCAAAAGGAATCT